AGGCAGTACATACATGAACGCCATAACCAAATAAGCAGCATAGTATCAGGAACATCTGTGCCAAGGATGGCCTGGAAGTCCTGAGGTCATAATGGGTGAATGAGAATGACCGAGCCAAGATCCTGTGGGACTTCCAGATACAGCCAAACTGATGATGGCTAACTAACTGGACATCGTAGTGGTAGAGAAGCAGAGGAAGATGACCATCGTGATAGATGTAACTGTACTGAATGACAGCAACATCAGGAAGAAGGAACAAGAGAAGCTGGAGAAGTACCAAGGCCTGAGAGAGGAACTTGAGAAGATGTGGAGGGTGAAGGTGACAGTGGCTCCAGCAGATCCCAGGAACAACATTCGAGATCTATGTTCAGAAGAGGGCGGTCCTGGGAGGGAGCAGAGTAGAAATGCTGAATATTTACTGCTTGACTTCCTCATTATCAGGGTGAGGTGAAAATTGTAAACAGAATAGAAAATGTCTGTGTCCTCCAGTAAAACTAATTTAGCCTGATAACTTTCTACAAAACCAAATATCTTGACTGCATCTAATTATTATTACTACATTCAACGTACATTCAGTATAAACAGCCAGACACAAACCAACAGCTATACATTTCAAATTGACCACTTTTACCAAAATAGCTTTTGATACATCTTTAATAGCATGTCTAGCACCTTATAATCAACTTACGGCATTATTTGATTCACCTTTGCTTTTATTGTTTATTTTATTTTATTTTCACTTACTACACACAGGACAGACATGACTGGGGAAAGAAAGAGGGAAAGAAAAACAGCGGGGAAGAGGGACGGGGATAAAGGGCAAAACCCAACAAAACAAACAGACAAAAAATCCATCTATCAATCACCTGGATCACCTGTTGAGAAAGAAAAAAGAGAAAACAACCAAAAAAGAGAGCAATATAATAAACAACATCATGATGATCTATGTGAATATAACTGTAAATACTAAATATTAAACATTATTGTGCAGCACGTAAGATCGACAGCACACAGTGTGGTTTGAGGTAGGAGCCAAAAAGGGTGTAGTTTGTGTGTGTGAGCACCCGTGTGTACACCTGTGAGCATG